AGAAAATTTTTTGTGTGAAACATGAGTTGAAAAAAAGTATTGATTCATTTTTACACGCTATTAACTTTAATAAAAGTAGTATACATTATATTTCTTTCTTTTTGGTACTTTTTTTAAGTTTTGTTAAATAAAATCTTCTTTTTAAACTTTATATATATATAAAGATTGATTTTATGATTATTTTAAGATAAAATAATGCTCTTAGGCATTTGTGTAATTTTTCGACTGCCTGATGCCCGAGGCAAATAATGGACGAAGATGTATATTGGAATTTTGGAATTGCGCCAGAAATATCTCACGTATTACTTATATCCAAATGAAAAAAGGGGGAACTCTATGAAAACTTTATTCCTCTATCTTTGTATATATTATATATTTTGTTTGAAAATCTTTGAATTTATTCAAAATAAGAAAATATTTAACACTGATAAATATTGTAAATCAAAATAACTTTCTTGTAAATATGGGATAAAATTCCTGAAGCGATTCAACTTAAAAAAATTTTCTTAGATAGGAATTAAACTTGCATATAGTTTAGCCCTATGAGGGATTAATTCGATATTTTTGATTAAAAATTTTTTTTTATTAAGTTTCAAATGTGCACTATTAGTACATTATAATTTTTATATTTTTAGTACAAAAATGTCTTCTTTTGTTTTCGAGATATTAATAAATTAATTATTCAGTTAATAAAAAAAGAAATATTTTATACAAAGAAATAAAATTAGCGTAATTCTATACATTCTAATCGAAAATTTATGAAATTTCGTGGACAAAATTTCGTAAAATTCATCCAACGAATCTGATGTTAATTTTCTGAAATTCAAAATGGCTAACCTAATACGGCGAAAGAAACATTTTTAAAATGTTTTGGATTCCGCAATATTGCATCAGCCATTTTTAATTTCTGTAAACTGACATCAGATTCGTTGTCAGCATCCCTAAATACTCAAGAGCAACAAGTTTTAACAGAATCGGATGAATTTTAAGAAATTTAGTCCACCATATTGAATCCGCCATTTTTAAATTTTGATAACTGACATCAGATTCGTTGTCAGCGATCGCAAAAATCCCTAGGTAAGAAATTTTAAACGAATCGGATGAATTTTAAAAGTTTTCGTCCGACATTTTGGTTCCGCCATTTTGAATTTCTAAAAAATAACTTTAGATTCGTTATCAGCGACTATAAAAAGTGTCGAATTATATGTTTCCCGCAAAAAAACAATTCTTCTTGAAAAAAACTTTAGATTCATAATTAGTGATCCTAAAAACTGTTAAAGAATGAGTTTCAGAATTATTGTTAAGCACAAGAACGTTTAAATCCATCAAAGCAATTTTTTTAGAGGTCCGTGTTAACGTGAAATAACCCATAAATGAAATTTTTTTTTTTACATTATTGTATACGAGTTTTCAAAGAATCCACTGTTCACGCTTTTGATGTTAGATTACTTGAGCAATTTTTGACCCATTTGTAAAAAGTAAAAAATGCATTTTAAATTGCCTAAAAGGCAGTTTTAACTTTAATATGAAAATTTCATAACCTGAAAACTGTAGTTTAAGGAATATCATACTTTTGTATTAACATGAGTAAAATGCATGTTATTTTTCTCAAAAGAAAGAAGTGAAATTTATCAAATTCTTTATATATATATATATAAAAGTCTGGATATATATTTAAGATCATTTGATAGAAAAATTGAGAAAGTAATTTAATAGCTTTTTCTCAAGTTTTCATATCTTTATTAAAAATGGAGTGATAAAAGTATATGTGGCCTATAAACGAAAGTTGGTACTTTAGAACGATATAATTTATCATACAATATAAACGTGTCTAAAAGCTCGTTCTTCTCTTCGATACGGAAGGGAACCTTTTCTTATATACCTTATACCGACCGAATGTATACCTACATATAATAATAGATGTTAAGGTAACATTTAGATATATGTCCTCCTTTTCTTCTCAGCCAACTTGCCTTGACAGTTCAATAATTTCACAACATGATCACGAATTGCTTTTTTTACTTAAATTAATTTTTTAAATTACATTTTATTTTGTCTCTAACATATAAAAATAATTTTCAAAAAATTAGACTTAAATTTTTTATCTCAAAAACTTTTAAGTGCTTCCTAAAACTAAAAATAAGCCAAAAAAGTTGTTCTTTACAATTTATTCCCTTGAAACTCAAAAACTATTTTGTCCCAAAGAGGTGTTTGGCACAAATGTGTGTTTTCGCGTATATATATAGGCAGGGGTCCAAATGACTGAGTGAAGGGTTTACGGTATAATCACATCTAGTGGTAATTGAATCCACTAATTAAATTCGAAAATTAATTAATTTATTATTATTTATTTAAATGATTTATATATTTATTTAAATTTTTTTTACAATAATGAAATACAGAAAATTTTAAAATTAATTAAAATATGAAAAGATTTTAAAAAAAGAGAATCGGTGAAAAATATAAAATTATAGTGCAATAAGCTTTTTTGCATTGTTTCACAGGTGGTTATTAAACAATCAACAAAGTGTGATTATTGTTTGTAATTAACCGCGTTTAAAATATCCTGCCAACTGAATATACAATGTATAGTATGTGAGAAAATATACGAATACTAGGACATTTTAATTATTCCTCGGACTCTCATGAATAAATATGAATCCCAGAACCCAGGAAGAATTCATTATTCCAATTGTTTCTATGATACAACCACCTGGTGAAGTCTTATCTATATATATATATATTTTAGCATTACTTCCACTGTCGACATTTTATTTAAAATTTCAACAAAAAAAATAATAAAAATGGTTTCATCTTCAAATGTAGAAGAATTTTTTTAGTTTTAAATAAATAAAGTAAATATTTGCAATTTTCAAATAGAAATTTATTACTTTTCGATTATAAAAGAAAGCAATAAATGACAGATTATATACATATATATTTATTCTTTTCATGTTGAAGAAAAATCTTATCGACTTTCGAGATAACATTTTATATACCATAAAACAAATATATCACACCTATTACCTTATAAATGACGAGCTTTTATGTTTTAATATTTTTTTTTAATTTCATTTTTTACATTTTAAATAAAATGTCAATTCGATGAATGTGATTTTAGAACTGTAATTTAGAAAATTTTATATTTAAAAAAAATCGTTATAGTCCAAAAATTATTTTTCAGAAATGTTGTATATTTTGATTTTTATTTATAAAAGAAACTCTACTATTTTCGATGGTATTTTGCATGTATTAGTTACTGTCTGGCCATACGTTTACTTTTTCTACTTAAATTCTACATTCTTTATATCTTATAACGTAGATTTTAATTTATTATTGATTTTATTTTAATTAATTTTTGTTATTATATTTGCAATCCAATCTACGTTATCTACACTTTTTAATTATTAATTTGACAAGATGCCAAGTTATTTCATGGAAAATAACTAAACCAAGAAAAATAGTTAAATAACCCGACAAGTAAATTTTATAATTCTAATTAGGAAAAACTAAAACCAGCTCAGGAATTCCATTGTTAATTTACAGCAACAATAGACCGCGGAGAGTGGAGGATATGGATAAACACCATTAATTAGACAAAATTTGTAAAAATAATACTATTTATTAATATTTACTTCAAATTTTAGAAAAAGTTAAATAATGGCAGAAGGCCGAAAGACAAGGTTTATATTTAATTTATTCAATTATACTTTAATAATAAAGAGATCGATTTTAAAAGAAACGACTCCTAATTGATTTATTGGGATTCACCGTCCATTTGACGACGACAATGACGCCTTATCTCATTTTTATAATTTTAAATTTTAATTATTTTACACGAAGAAGAATAGAACACAACTTGACACTACGAACACCAGGATGAGAATGAGAGAAAAATGGCTGAAGAGTCAAATTCGAAAGCGTCGCTAAACAGCGGCCTCTCTTCTCGGTGTCATTGAGATCAATTAATATTCAATAATATAATACCCGCGACCGATAATATATACGCAGTCATCGGTAACACAGATCCCTACACTACCCGATGTTAAATTGATTGATGCGAGAAATCGATAGGAAATTGACTGCCAGTATTGGGATCTGAAATACTGCGATACGCCATCTGGTGACGATCTCGTTGTGTCAGCCATTTTTCGTTTCATCCTTTTTAAAATATATGTAGAAGAAAGAGATAAAAAATCAAGATGGCTGACGCAACGAGGTCAGTTTCCCCATAATTCCCTATGATTTCAGATAACAGCAATTTCGTCTTCCTGGTGTTCTTGACTATTCTAAACTCTTATCCAAATATATACACCAGGAAGCTCTTCCCTTGATGACTTCTAATTTCAATAATAGATAGTGATATCCTCAACGTCTTTGTAATCCGGCGAGAATCTAATTTATTTATTAGAAATCGTCTATTAATCTGACGACTTTAGCAAGTTGGTTTGTTAAGACGAGAATTTATTATTTAAACAAAATGAAGTTTGTATCAAAAGAAAACAATTTTTATAATTTACACCGCGTTAAAAAAATGCTGCGTTACAATCTATATAGAAAAAAATATTTACCGGATTTTAGTGAATTTATTTTGCTAAAATTTTTTTGTATACGATAGCAAAGAAAAATAAATAAATAATAAAAAACAACAAAAATTTATTTGTTTCAAACAAATTATCTTTGATTTTAAAAAAATTATCTTCGTTTCAAAGAAATTTTGTTATTTAACTCAAATAAATGTTTTTTTTGACCCTATATCAATGTTAGAATTTCTTTGATTTAATGCACAAGTTTCTTTCATTATTTGGGTCCTAAAACATTATATGTGTTAAAAAAAAAATTTATTTTTTGACCATTTTAAAATTTGTATTTAAAAAAAAATTTAAACTCCATTTTTTGGAGTATTGTCCAATATATGAAATGTTAAAGACTTGTGAATTTTTAAAAATGAATTTTTTAAACTAAAATTTACTAAATAATTTTTGTGTTTTCTGTTTTAGGTGAGTACAAAAAACTAACAATTCCAAAAAACTAAATGAACTTCACATTTTTTTGTGTTTGTGTTTTGGAGAAGGTGAGTCTTTATTTTCTTTTTATATATAGATTTATTTGCAGAATGCTTTGCTACATGATTTATTTAAATTCATGTAGTTAAATTGTTGGTGTTTGTCAAACACCACGTATATATGTATAAAAATTTTACGCTCGCTCTTGAATGACTCTTAAATATATATGACACAATTTAATCAATATCTGAAACAATTTTGTTTACATTAAAAATTTAATTGTCAACAATGTCTTTCAATATAAATGAAACTATATTTTTATAAGAAAAAAATGTAATTTAAGTTTAGTTTTAATATAGTAATTTTATAAATTAAATAATAATAGTAGTAAATTATTAAATTTTAAGTATAGATTTAAGGTAAATATTGAAACGAATTGTGTAAAAAAATTTTATACTTATTGTACACCTTAAATGTAAGTATTTTTTAATTTTTTTTTTAGTTTAAAAATGTTTTATTTCTGTCAATTTTATCATTTTTATGAGACGAAACAATAAGTATTTATAGTTTTGAGTCTAATTATCCTTCTAATTACACATCCTTTAGATTAAAAAGAAAAATCATTAATTTTTAATGGTTTTTGCGACTGTTTTGTATATTATTTATACATTTCGTGGATATATTTTATTGCTGTAAAGAACAGAGAAGATATCAAGAAATGCGGGGAAATTTCCCTTTTTTTCAACATGCTGATTGTGCGCACAATTTTTTTAAGGTACGTCCAAAGGTAATTTTGAAATTTTTCTTCTATTTTTTTAGGAATGTAATACATGCTCGTTGGCACATATTTGCACACATAATATGAAAATTCTAGTAAATTTTCCAAATATAAAATGAAGCCGTCTCTTTAAATATTCATGAGACGCATTGCAATATTCTTTTCTTACTCTCTCTATATATGTATATGTGTATTGTGTATGCATATTATAACCTTCATATTTTGAAATTAAAAAATTATTGCGATGAAAATATGTAAGCAATATTCTTTTACTCGGCAGGAAATAATTAATATAATTAAAATTATTATCATTTTCTACTTTTTTTAAATTTGTTTTTGAGTAAAAAGTGATTTTTTTGAAATTCGCGCCAAAATCCGAACAAATAAAAGTTCGAACTAAATTAAATTTCATATGAACGATCATTCTTGAGGATAATTAAATTTCATCAGGTAAAATGAAATTTGTGAGATAAATAAATTTCATTGAAATGCGTTTTAGTATTTAAAAAGTGAGGATTATATATGTGATCCCTTTAACGTTTCTATATTATATACTAATGTATAGTGCGAGTATATCATAAATTATATTAATTTATTTATACCGGGAAAAATGAAAATTTATACAGAAGATTTAATCCCAACAGCTTTTCCACATCTTATCAAACTATTGTGAGTGAGTATAAATGCTTTGTGGAATTATAAGGGCGTGTCGTATATACGACAATGAGTCGCCTCTTGGCAATTTACGAACTGACCATGTTCTGGGACGAAACTCTCTGTATTTTATGTCTTTTTTACTTTCTTTAGCGCACAATTGTTCTCATGTCTCTAAAATAACATGAAATTTCAAATTTCCTTGACAGTATAACACGCAAACTATTCATTAATGTCGGTTAGAGAAAAATCTTCTTTGTAACATTCAAAAAGAAAAAAAAAGAGAGAGAAAAAGACTCATGTTCTATGGAACGAAATAATGCAATTTATATAATATATAAACTAACAAATACTTTTTAAAATATTTCAATTACACTTAGAAAAAAGAATTTTTAATTTAAATATCGAAAAATAATATTAAGAATAATTTTGTTAGGTTAGAATGAGCGAATGTAAATTTCCTCTGGAATTCCAGTATAGAACGTTCGAAATATTTCGTGTCTTTTTATTTTTAACACCTGTCTCACCTTGCCTTTCTTTATTCTAGTTCCCCGCCATGTATCAAAACAAAGCTACCATTCCCTGCAAAGTGTCACAATTCGGATGTTCCACTGATTATTTTATATTTATTAATTGGTTTCCACTGTCCCCACTCGCCATTTGACATAATTCGCATCAACTACCGCACCCTGTTCTAGTAAAAATTTAGTGACTTTATTGTTAAAATTAAAAGTTATTATAAAGTTACTAAATTTTTACTACAGCAGGGTGCGATAGTTGACGAGAATTATGACAAATGCGAATGACATAATCTCAAAACTGAAAAATAGCATTCCTATCCAATTGAAAAGATTTTGCTTTTTTAAAATATTTTTTTCAAATGTCATTTTATAAACAGGTTAAAGGTTAAAAAATCTTTTTTCTTTGAGATATATAAATATTCATAAATTGAAAATAAAATGTAAAATTAATTTTTGAACGGAATATTCTTCTCATTTTGAGATATCATTTTTTTCGGTGTGTGAATTTTATTTTACAACACTTCTTTCAATACTAAAAAATACAAAAAGTAGGATAAATAAATAATTATAAACCAAATATATTCAAAATTTTTTAAATTATTCTGGAATTTATTAAAAAATTAATTATATATGATCGTTATGTTTTACAATGATGTAAATTGTATACAAAATACATAAATATTTAATTGTATTTTAAATAATGTTAACAGATAAATTATCATTTTTTAGTCTGCATTTTGCATTAACTCTTATTAATAAAACAATTCTCATTTATCTCTAAAATTTTAAATATCGATTTCAAAGTAATATTGTTCTGACCTAGTTGAATAAATTTTAAATATAATAATAATAATAATAATTATAATAATGAATAATAATGATTCTTTTATTATTAATTAATATTTAAATTAAAGAATTTAAATTTTATAATTAATTATTTTTCTAAGCTAAATACTTTTAAAAAAAAAATATGTTCCTCGATTTAACTCATTTTGTCAGTTAATAAAAATTGAAATAAAAGAAATATAGTTTAGTTAGTTTATAGTTAATTTTACAATATTACAATTATAAATTAACTAATTAACTGTTAATAATTTATGAGGAACGAATAAAAAGTTGTTAATTAATTTATGACTTGATATTTTATCGATTAAATTTCAAAGTTTAGATTATTATTATTGTTGTTAATTAACAGTTGTAATAATTGATAAGTTGTAATTAACAATTAGTGTGTTAATTAAGTACTGTCATATGGAGATTAAAATAAAATTGTCATTTAGCTTTAGTAATTAACAAAAAAGAATTATTAATTTTGAGTATAGAAAATATGCGCAATTTTAATAAAATTTTAATTAATTTTATTTTATTAATGTTTATTTATTTGTCACAGCTGCAAAATATCATTAATAGAAAAATGTTTTTAAAACTCGATTTTATTTTTAAAAAAAATATTTTTTATATCTTAAAAAAATGTAGATTTTGAAGGCAGCTCAAGAGTTTTTTTTTTAAATAAAACACTTTCCCTCCTCATAGAAAATGTTGGTTCAAATGGAAAAATTTTTTTACGAATTTCATCAGATAGAATTACAAATTACCCAATTTTGAGCACGATTGGAAAAAATTCTTTTTTACCTTGATCATTTTACCTTAAACCTCTCATATAATGTAAAAGAAAAAAATTTATCCGCCCAGAGTTTAGAAAAAAAGGGATATTATATTTCTATAAAGGTTACAAGGTCGGAGAAGGATAATTTTCACGCGATTGGTTCATAAATTTTCAAATACGATACATGAAAATATCTTGAGTATGTTAAGAAAGTAAACGAGGTAATTCCCAGTGGACCAAACTTTATCTACTTTTACTCTGGGCTTCTGACCATTTTGCGAGCATGATCAGGTCAGGGGTAATAGGTTCAATAAAGTTATGCGTGAAAACTGATAGTTCATTGAACTGGATTTAATAATAATTGTAGTAAATTTTGTTACTGTATATCAATACAGTACAAAATTCCACTTCGATTTTATATATGGGGCAAAATTACTAAAGTGATTCAAGTGAAAAAAAAATTTTCTCAAATCGATATCGAAACTTGCACATAGTCTAGTCCTATGGATGAGTATTTTTAACACAAAATATTCTTAGATTTTATCAAAAACTGTAGTAAAGGGAGGGGGTTAAAATATTTAGTAAAATGTGAACAGTTGATTTTTTAAAAGTCGTAGATAACATACAATAAGGTTAAAAAAACATGTTGACCTATACTTTCTCGAAGGTTTTTTTCCTGTTCTTTCGAATAGTGTAAAATATTTTTAAAAAAATTGTTTTAAAATGCCGATTTTGAAAACAGTATGGTTTTGTAAAGATAAATATTTCTTTAAAATTATTTAAAATATAAATTGTATAATAGCTACGTTTTTTCAAAGAATCCACTATTTATACACTTTTAATATGTTTTGGCTCACTTGAGAAATTTCTCCCCATTTATATATATATATATATATATATGCACTTGTATAACTTTCTCTAACTGGTTGAACGATTATTGGACTTGAATGTTCAACTACAAGAGTAATTTGTTACAAAGCATGAAATATCGAAGCAAAGGTGCATTTAACTGTGACGACTTAATGTCCACTGCAAATAGTGCTTTAAAAGTTGGTTCGATAATATGAATTTGTCACAAGTGCAATTTATTAATTTTTAACTCTTTCACATTTTAATTCTCGTTTTACTTCTCACATTCACTTCTCATTTTCATTTTATTTTTTAATAATATTAAATTTCAATCTTTTTCCTCACAATTTTGAATTATGAAAAAATTTTCTGCGATCAATATATAGCTTACGAGATAAAAATTCCTGAAAATAGGACGTTATTAAAGGGAAAGGTATATCTATTATTAGTTTTCTAAGAAATTAAAAAAAATTCGATTAATTCGTTTTTTTACCAAAAAAGAAATTTTTAAAATTAGAACAATATAAATAGTATTGAAACACAAGATGTAATTAAAAATTATTTAGTTCATGTAAATATTTATTAGATAATATATTAAAGTAACTGATTATTTGGATTAAACGAAAAATTTTTTTCAGTGTACAATTTTTTTTTTGAAATCATTTAAAGAAAAAAGTATAGAGAAA